GAGTGCCTGTTTGTGATGATGTGTTTGTTCATGTGATTAGTGGATGGTTTCTCTCCCCACAGGACTGTTAGCCCCAGGAGGGCAGGGACCATGTCTGCCTGGCTCATCTTCACAGGCACTCGATAAATGTTGAATTAATGAGCAGAATCATGGGTCTACCAGGAGGGTTGGCCAAAGTAGGAGGGAGATCACCTTCCCTTTGTGTTCACCTTGTCCAGACCAGCTTCCTGGATCCCTTAGAGAGCAGCTGGGATGGGGTGAGAGATCCTGGAGGTTCTGGAAGACCTAATCTTGATGGCTGCCTTCTGACCCCCACTCCACAGCAGCCCTTATCCTACTGGGAAATCAAGTCCAGTGTCTTACTCCTGTAAGGGGCTTGAAGGATGGACCCTTGTCTGATGCTTGAATCCCCTGCCTACCCTCTGCTTACATACTTCCAGAGACAGGGAACTTACCCCTTCCAAGTGACTCCTTTCAACTTAGACAAGTAACTTTTAGGAAGTATTTCCGTTTCTTAAGTTGAAACCTGCTGCCTGTAGCTACCTGCTCTTTGGGGAATTTTAATTGTGGCCCTCTGGAAACAGGGCTTTCTGGCAGAAGAGCAGGACAGGTGTGCTTCAGCTATCCTTCTCTAGCAGGTAGGGACAATTCTGCCCACCGCCTCACTCTCTCCTGTCCTGCCTGCAGGTACGTGCAGGAAGGGCGGTTCCGAATTGAGGAGAGGACGCTGACAGCCTTCCAGTGGCTCTACAGCCCACAGCAGCATCGCATCCTCAGCCGTGCTGACCTTGAATCTCCCTCCAGGTAAGGGGACCCTGTGCCCTCATCCCCCCACCCAGCTGGTACTTATGCAGCCAGCCCCACCCTGATCCATAAATCCAGTGGGGGACCATTGCCTTCAGTGGTGAAGAGGCCTCCCAAGGTCCTGGCAAGAGTTTATCAGCCTGGACACTCATCCTCCACCACCGTGGACATGTGGGACCAGTGTCAGTGGTCTCCATAGAGACACCCTAGGTAACCCCAATGCTGCCATAGCCCTTCCCCAGGCCTCCGTCAGACCTGATTCTGTGCCTTTCTTCCTGCTTTCCCCATCAAAACCTCTTCACACCAGCTTCTAAATTGGCAGGACCCTTGCAGCAAAGAGTGAACAGGTCTTCCGGTCCAGAGGTGGTTGTATGAAGGTGATGTCATTGGGGGGGAGCACCATGGGGTGGCCAACAGGAGGACAGGGATGACACACTCACTGCTGTTTCCCAGACTGGCTTCAGGAATAAGGTATAGCAGCCATGGGAGACTCTACCTCCCCACACATCTGCCAGGAATGCTATTTAGCTAAGAGCAGTGCACCTGCTCCCTCTTGTCTCTTTGACAATTTCAGAAGGTACAGAAAACAGCAAGATAGACATGGACTCTGGACCCAGTTCTGAGCAATGAAGAATTAATTGAATGATGATGTGTGACAGGGAGCCTGGGAAAGGTGACTCAGGCCACCTGGGAATTCTTGGTATTCAGGGTATGGGTGGTCCGACAAGGGCCTTGGGCTCCAGAGGGTGGATCTCACATAATGTAGAGAAAAGTCAGAAAAACCCCATGCGCTGGAGGCAAGAGTGTTGGGAAGTATGCGGAAATGAGTCTGAGTGTACAGCTGTGAATGCTTGCAGGGAAAGAGAAAGAGGCTGGTATGGCTGTCCTGGGAGCATGCTACTGTGACATGGACATGAAGGCCAAGCGATCTGATTTGGTCCCAGGCAATGTGCAAAGCTCTACTGCGTGCCAGCTGCCATCTGACATACAGTAGCTTTTCCCACTCCTTTCCTTTCCTTCAAAGCTCTTGCCACTACCTGACATTATTTTGTTCATATTTGTTCATTGTCTGTGTCACCTGCTGGATTGTAAGCTTTGTCGAGCAGGGCCTTTTCCTTCGAGTTCTCCACTGTGACCTAGCACAATGCCTTGCCTAGAGAAAGAGCTCATTAAACACGCCCTGAATGAACGACAAATTAACCTAATGCAGGTTCTGAACTTGTAGGAAGGCTGGTAGGAAGGCGAGCTCCAAGACTGAGCTGTGCCGGCTAAAACTGCCCGAGGTAACAGCAAGAGAGGAGGGGTGAAACCTCCTGCCCATGCAGGTGGTCTGAGGCTAAGGGGCTGCTCTGTTTTCTGAGCCAGAGAACAAGAACGCCCTTCAGAGTCAAAGAGCAGAGCCAAGTCTTTAGAGGAGGAAAGCAATCATAAAACAGGATGGAATCATTTGAAATAACTTCAGATTTCATACCTGGGAAGGCTACATCTCAGAGGACTTGAAGAGAAGTCTTCCATAGCTCAGTGACTGTGCTCATTTTTGTGACAGAATATTAATAGTTATTTTGTTTTAGTGCTTATTATGTGTCATGTTGTAAACGCTTTGCAGGAGTAAATCGATTTCATCTTCATAGCAATGATGTGATCTGGGTACTATTTTCTCCCCATTTTTCAGATGACGAAACTGAGGCATAGAGGCCAAGTAACAGCTAGTAAGTGGCAATACCTGCAACCACTGTGCACACTGCCTCTCAGAGAAGAAGGCACATGTCTGAAGGCAGGAGACAGGGAAGGTAATTTCTGTCTTTACAAAGAGCAAGAAAGTAGTGTTCACAAACCATAAATAAGTGGACTTAGCATCTGTCCCTGAGAACCCACCCCGCTGGCGGAAGCTTATTTGCTTTTCTGATTAGTTTTCTAGATGAGAAATTAGATTGGGGGTGGTGGAGCAGGAGACAGTGTTTCTGAGTTTCAGCAAGAAATTGTTCTTTTCTTCCCATCAAATCCTTGCGGGTGACACAGAGGAATGAGGGCTGGGGGATGGCACAGTTAAAGAGGTGGATGAATGGGCTGCTGTTGCCTGAGTCCTGCTCAACATGTTTATCAGTGACTCAGGGAGGAAAGATGTGGATAGCATGCTGGTGACATTGCTGATGGCAGGAACCTGGGCAACATCCCAGCAGGTGAGATGGCAGAATTGGGACCCAAAGTGCCCTGGAGGCTGGTTTCCAGGTCCGAGTCTAACAGATGTAACTTAACAGGGGTAAAGGAGAAAGCTATTTTGTTCTCTAATCCTGTCAGCACCTGGGCAGGAAGGTGAGGAAATCAGAGCTGTCTGGTGGGTTCCCACTGGGTAGAAGCTTAGGTGTGGCCCTGCATTTTAGGTGTTTACCAAAGAAAATGCTCACATCTTGGGGTGGCAAGCGCTCAGGGCAGAGTCCAGGGCAAGGCAAGGGAAGGTCCTGCTGTTCTGAAGCTCAGACTCCAAGAGGAATTACTTTGTTTGTTCATTTATTTGGTGGACAGTGATTGAGCACCTTTCCACTGCTAGGTGTTAGATGTTACCTTGAACGGCTGAGCAGTTTATATTTCCAGGTGATGGACCAGGCTGCTGAAGGGTCTGTGGGTTGGCCACCCCTGCCTTCCTTTCTTCCTTCCACAGCTATCCATTATGATCCTGCTCTGGGTCAGGCTCTGGGGTTACAGTGGTGCTCAAGGCAGACAAGGGTACTGCCTCCATTGGCCACATATTCTAGCAGGAGAGATGCAGACACAGACAAAAGAGAATTTCCCAAGATGACCAGACTGCTAAAGAAACCAAAACAGGGTATCGAGATAATGAGTGACCAGAGGGTGTGTGGGGACTTTGGAAGAAGTGGAAGGCCTCTCCGAGAAAGTGACATTTTTTCTAAATGTTTAATTGATGCATCATAATTGTACATAGGTACTGTGTGATATTTTGATACATGTATACAATGTGTAATGATCAAATCAGGTCAATCAACTTATCCATCACCTGAAACATTTATCATTTCTTTGTGTTGGGGACATTCAAAATCCTCTCTTCTAGCTAATTGAAAGTATACAGTAGAGGCTGGCCTGTGGCTCACTTGGGAGAGTGTGGTGCTGATAACACCAAGGCCACGGGTTCGGATTCCTGTATAGGGATGGCCGGTTAGCTCACTGGGTGAGCGTGGTGCTGACAACACCAAGTCAAGGGTTAAGATCCCCTTACCGGTCATCTTTAAAAAAAAGAAAAAGGAAGTATGCAATAAATTGTTGTTAACTATAGTCACCCTACAGTGCTATGGAACACTAGATCTTATCCCTCCGATCTAGCTGTAAGTTTGTATCTGTTAACCAACTTCTCACTATCTCCCTTCCCCCCTACTCTTTCCAGCTTCTGGTAACCACCATTCTATTCCTACGTGATCATCTTCTTTGGAGAACGTGCAGTGTTCCTCTCTCTGTGCCTGGCTTATTTCACTTAACATAATGTCCTCCAAGCTCACCCATGTTGGTGTGAATGACAGGATTTCATTCTTTTTTATGGCTGAATAGTATTCCATTGTGTATATATACTACATATTCTTTATTCATTCATCTGCTGATGGACACTCAGGTTGATTCCATATCTTGGTTATTGAGGATAGCACTGCAATGAACACGGGAGTGCAGACATCTCTTCAATGTACTGATTTCCTTCCCTTTGGATATATACCCAGCAATGGGATCACTGGATCATATGGTAGTTCTATTTTTAGTTTTCCGAGGAACCTCCATACTGTTTTCCATAATGGATGTGCTAATTTACATTCCCACAAACAGTGTATGAGTTCCCCTTTCTCTGCATCCTCGCCAGCATTTGTTATTTTGAGAAAGTGATATTTGAGCTGAGTCCTGAAGGGCACAAGGGGGCAGCCATGTGGAGAAGCTTCTAGTGAGGGGTGTTGATTGGATTGTGGGGAGGGGGCACAGGACATAGGAGTGGGAGAGTTTTCCCGCAGGGGGAACAGCAAGTGCATGGCTGTAGCTATGTTCTAGAAGCAGAAAGCCACTGCGGCCAGAGCAACATGACCAACAGACAGAAGCAAGGAAGATTTCCATGCAATTAAAGAAACGGCTTTCTAGCACTTAGAGCTGCCTCAGGACAGCGTGGGCTTCCCCGAGGGAGTGAGCTTCCTATTACTGGACGTCTGCAAGCCATAGTCAGAGGCCGCCCTCCACGGAGGTTACCGAGGAAGAGACTCGAACATCCCAAAGGTTGGCTAAAGGACCCTTCATTCTTTCAACCCCTTCAAGTTCAGGAGCATCCTTGGTTTTGCAGAAGCTGGGAGGATGTCTGTGGAGCGAATGCATGAAAGCTCGTCCAGGTCCAAGACAGCGGGCAGTTTCAGGAGTTCTAGCAGCTCTTGCGATCCTCTCCCCCCATCCCCGCTTCCAAGTCCCGATGGCACCGTACCCCCTCCTGAGTCCCACCTAACGCAGAGCTGGAGAGAGCCCCAGGGTGTCTTCCTCAACAGACCAGGGACCCGTGGATCTTTCCGCACCTCCCTTCCCCACTGGCCCAGCCGCATCCTCCCGGAACCTCCGTGGGCAGGTGGGCTGCTGCCTCCTCTCCCCTGGCTCCCATGGGCGCAACCGCCCCGCCCCGCGCCTTTGTTCCGGAGGAGCCGCCTCGGGCAGTCTCCTGCTAGCGGCGACGC